AGACTCTTTACTGTGGCTGAAAACTGCTCACAACTCACAGCTTGTGTATTATAAATAAAAAAAGCATAAGGATAGTAAAATAGTTGGGAATTAAAATCAAAAGTAGGGGGCACCCGGATTTGAACCGGGGACCTCTTGATCTGCAGTCAAATGCTCTACCACTGAGCTATACCCCCGCATACACGGCGTGTGATATTACTCAGTTATAAAGAAGCAGTCAATATTATCACATGTATAGATATGGTTTGATATCAGTTTGTGTTTGGAACAATTACACAAACATTCTCCTCAATAGTAATAATCTGCCATCCTCTCATCTCCCAGTAAAACGGTTCTAAACACACACACGCACTTAAGAGCGGTACCGGCTGAGAGCGGAAGTGTCGCACTGAAAACGCGACTCTCCCGGAAACCGCAGCGGATCGAACAGAAAGTGGAAGAGTCAGAATCACAATGGTAACGATGCTGCATATATTGTACATATCTTGTTTTCTGCCCACCCTTAGTGTGTAGCTCACACTGCTGATGTTTTCTCTGGATGTTGGTTTTTATTCAAGTCCTCCGGGTCTTTATCTGTTAGCGGAGGATGTTAGCGCTGGATTTGATTAGTCACTGCAGCTAATGCTAGCTAGCTCGCTCCGATGGAGGTCGGTTAGACTCATGGCGTGCGTGTGTGTGATGTTGGTTTAACGTGAGTGTGTGTTTGTGGCTGATCGTGTCCGTGTGTGATTGTATCTGACAGAATACCCGAGGACTCCGCTCACAGCTGAAGGACAGTGTCCCGGTGGCAGGCCTCTGTCCACAGGGACAGTATGGAGTCCAGGACTCTCTGCGGAGCGGGTGAGTCTTAAACATGAATGAATTCATCTGGACACGAACAAGTTCACATATTCAACACTGTAGACTGCACAGTCACGTTTCTGATTGTACTGCAGGTTAAACTGACACGGATACATGTCAAATATATCTCATTGTGTTTCAGTGCACTCACATACTTTTAATATACTTGTGATTTATAAAAGTAAGTCTGTATGTTTTAGAATAGGTCTGAGCAATAAACATTACTTATTATCCCAGTATATATATATATATATATATAAAAAAAATGTATAATTGTTTTGTCAATTCCCCAATAACCACATTTACTTGATCTCTCATCAGTAAAGTCTTATTTTTAATGTGTTTGTCTGATAGATTTCTTTTGTTTTATTATTTTTGTGTGTCATAGACATTATGTGTATCCAGGATTGCAAGTCATCATTATTTAGAAAAGGGAAAAGCACAAAAAATTTGATGTTTGATCTGTACATAGAATAATGAAATGGATTGGGTGAAAGCTAATGCAACAGAGCTGCTATGTTAAGGGAATAAATATTTTTGTGTTAACGATAATGTAGTACACTTGCATGTACAGAGTATTATCATAAATGCAACCAATGTTAAGATTATCATCACAGAAACTTTCTGAAGCACATTAAACCTACATGCCACCTGCTTTTTATTCTGTGTCTGAGCAGATTTACCAGTGTAAAGAATGAGCTCCTGCCCAGCCACCCATTGGAGCTGTCAGAAAAGAACGTGAGTCATTCTGAACTGTGAGAAAGGAGTGGATCAATGAGCCAAATGTTCACCAAATTCACTCATTCTGCTTGATCAGACCTCTAATTGTGGCCTAAATGCACAAACTGGGACCGTAATGTTAATAATGTCTGTTAGTTCAGTGAGGTGGGTGACATGCTCACCTACTACCTGCTCCAGATGCCCTGAACATCTATAAACACCCATTTTAGATGTTTAATAGTAATTACAATGGTAAGAACAGCATCCAGTTGATTCAAGAGTCTGTTAAACACCATTGGCTTGTTTTCATGGAACATTCACAACAAGACTACCAGCAGCTCCGTCCTAACTGAATTGCAAATATGATTAATGTTGCTGCATGACAAATCAGATACCGTATGTCTTCATAGTACTGTAATCAGGGATGTGCCAATACCCGCATCATAACTGCCTCTGATTCTGCTGAAAATGTTGGTCCACTCATTGGATTACGCAAACATGTACTGATCTAATGCCCATTGCCACAATTGTATAAAATCAAGCACCAAGACATGCAGTCTCCGTTTACCAACATTTGTGAAAGAATGGGTCATTCTTAAGAGCTCACAAAATTCGATACTCTGCTGACTCAAAAACTGCAGAGTTCCAAAACCTCCTCGGGTGTTTATATCGGCACAAAAACTGTGGGCCGGAAGCCTAGTGACATGGGTTTCCATGGTCGAGCAGCTGCATGCAAGCTCTACATGACAAGCGAAATGCTTCTGTAATATATGTAAGCTGCTCAGGTGTTTGTAAACTCCAGCAAAACCCATTCATATTAGGAAAACATGTACATTCACTTATGTGGTTACTAGCAGATACACATCAGATTTGTGAAATGACATTCAGTCATCAGTGAACCTAATTTAAGGATATTTAGGTTTAGTGAGGGGTGGATAGGTTCCTGTTGCTGACAGTGTTTGTGTCGTGTGCAGTTCCAGCTGAACCAGGACAAGATGAATTTCTCAACTCTGAGAAACATCCAGGGTCTTCATGCTCCACTCAAACTGCAGATGGAGTACAGGGCAGCCAGACAGGTACTGCTTTTTACTCCTTTTCCTGTTCTTTCACATTTCGTGTTTATACGTCAAGCCTGGACCTAAGTCCTCGTGTCTCTCCTTCCAGATCCAGCGCCTGCCGTTCTTACAGAGCTCAAACCTGGCTCTAGATACGCTGCGAGGCAGCGACGAGTCCATCGGTTTCGAGGACATCCTCAATGGTCAGAACCTCATCCTGTCTGCTCTGTCTCTCACAGCAGTGATGTCTCTGAGAGTGAACTCTAACCACCACCCTGTGTTTGTGTGTCTGTCACCTTTCAGATCCAGCCCAGAGTGAAATGATGGGGGATCCTCACATGATGGTGGAATACAAATTGGGACTGTGCTGAAAGAGAAAGGACGCAGATCCCCACACACACACACACACACACACACACACA